TGTGAAAGGGTTAGGGGAGGCTGTTGTGTATACTGCGTCTCATGGATGGACTTTATAGGAACAAGTACGTGCATGCACGAAGAGTCGACGTGATCTCCAAGTACGTGATGTGCGCTTTGGATCCCAAAGAAGAAGCTTGCACGTAGGAGGACTTCCGTAGCTTTGTTTATGGTAGACAATGTTACTTCTTCTCTATCATGAAGTCCAAACACGTATTCTCTTAGTTGGTTTCAACAATTCCCAATTTCATGATTTCTTATTCATTTGGTCTCGTATTATCATCGTTTACTAGCTTGTTTATTTTCGTGATTTCTTGTTCATAAGTTTCCTTCATCAAAAATCTCATGTCACTCGATTATTTTCGCACCGCAAATGATATTAGTTCCTTGGCAAAGTATATTCATGACATTTTTTATTACGCTCATGTGCTACATTGACATTACACAAATCTCTTCATATGTTTGTCTTGTCTTACAGTGTTGGTAGCATGCAGTATTTGACATTTACATATCTAAATATTATGCACACAAGGAATGAATTATCCTAATTTATCATTAAATAATTTTTAATCACTGATTAATGAAATTTATGATGAATCAAACTAAAAATTGGCATAAATCAGAATTTTATGCCGTTAGGTAATTTAATTCCCTTTTAGACATGTTTAGATATGAAGTTAATTTTTAAAGGAGATTTAATTCATAATCAAAGTAGAGAGGAAAGAAATTAGATTGATTAATTAATTAATCAACTAATTACTTATTCCAAAAATCATCATAATAATTTATTTTTATTTATAAAATTTAAAATTTAAAATTTAGTTATTTATTAATTCTTTTAAGTTAATGTTTGATGAGGTTATTAATTTCAAACTCATTATTATTTCGTCAATTTTAATATTAGAATCATCTCCAGTTGTTATTCATAATTTTCCAATGTTAGATCTAAATTTATAATTATCTTTTCATGATTCTTAAATGATGTTTCGATTAAATATAAGTTACACATTCAATTTCAAGTTTAAGCATTTAATTATTATCAGATATTTATTTTATATCTCTTGTTTTATATAGCAATTACATGCATGCTGCATAAAATTGGATTCTATTTGAGTTAATTGGACCGATTTAATTACGGTTCAAGTCAGTCAATTAAGGGTTTATTAGGTTTTGACTCATCATAATATAATATGTCATGATTTATTTGATATGTTCTAAATGAGTTTACAAGGTACAATTGTATTGTATGACCGATATGATATGATGTGAGCCTTATATGAAGATGATTCTTGACCCTATCAGGAGTAGCTCGGCCAGCAGCGGGCGAGGGCGACGGAGAAGACGGAGAACGTGGTGGCCCAGGTGCGGAGATGACGGCATCGGCACAGGCGAAGAGGGAAGCCAGGCCACTGACGAGCTTGAATATATGAAAGCTGCGGGCAAAAACTCCAGCCAAATCATCCTGCTACTTCCTTTCCACCATTTCCTATCGTTCTGGCAAGTTCAGATGCAGAGTGTTCTTCCGTTATGTATGAATTGCAGCTCTGAGGCCTGGTTTGTTCTTCTTTATCAAAGCAAGAACTATTGCTTGTTGTCCAACTCAAGCAGACAATTCTGCTCTGTGCATGCAACACCACACTCGCTAAGATGGGCAGTGGCTCTGCTCTGTGTTGTTCCCTTCACATCCATTTCCAAGCTAAACTTGGTTAACTGTCCAAGACAAGCGGTAATTGACCTCCGACGAGCGATGAGGTCAAAATACTTCGTGTCAGGGATCACGTGCATGGCACGTGTGGGAATCTAAATCGCGCCTCCCTAAAACATTTGACTTCTCCGGCGTTGTAATCCTCGTTGAGGGATTTAGTTGGCCAGCGAGAAGCCACGTCGGGACGGCTACCACGTCACTTGACCTACCGCAATCAACGACTGAGATTAACGTCGTCGGTGTCCATCCGACGGTTGACTGGGTTCCACGCGGCTCATCCTTAGCCAGAAACGAACGGCCAGCCAGCGGCCACGCGTCCCTTCTTTGAGATATTAGGACCAAAGATCCGATGAACACGGCATCGCTGGCCCGCTCCTCTCTCTCTCTCTTTCTTGGTGGTGGAGGCCGTGGAGTTGGATGCACTGTTGATCCTTGGAATTCCAGGGTTTCTAGGGTTCCTCTGTTCGCGTTTCTCCCTGGCGTAGGCGGAAGTTGTCATCTTGGATTCGATTCATATACTTCGACGCCCCCTTCTTTCTCCTCGATTCAATCGACTCTGGCTGCGCGCAGAGGCGGCGACGTCACATCAGTCGCTTGTATTGGTTTCCTGCTATCTTGATCCTGATTCCTTTTGTCTTTGTGCAAAAAAGGCCGATCTTGGAACCCTTATGGACCCTGATTTTTGTTCCGACGAAACTCTCTAGTGTAATCTCCATACGAAGAGGTCATCTTACCGTGTTCGCCGTCTAAGTCTCGAACAAAAGGGAGATCTTTAGTGTTCCTTTTTGGCGAAAGGTTTGATCTTTGCGGATGGCCGATTCGGACAACGAATCGGGCGGGCATAACAATAGCGGTGCGGGGTTGGGGGCGGCGGGGGAGCTGTCGTCGCTGCGGGAGCAGGACCGCTTCCTGCCCATCGCCAACGTGAGCCGCATCATGAAGAAGGCCCTCCCGGCCAACGCCAAGATCTCCAAGGACGCCAAGGAGACGGTGCAGGAGTGCGTGTCCGAGTTCATCAGCTTCATCACCGGCGAGGCCTCCGACAAGTGCCAGCGCGAGAAGCGCAAGACCATCAACGGTGACGACCTGCTCTGGGCCATGACTACCCTCGGCTTCGAGGAATACGTCGAGCCCCTCAAGGTCTACCTCCAGAGGTTCCGGGAGACGGAGGGCGAGAAGGGGGCGGGCTCGTCCTCGTCGTCGCAGCCCCAGCCTGACGGCGGCGCTGCCATGAGCATGGCGAACGATGCGGGCGGTTTCGCCAGCAGCGGCGGTGCAGCGATGTACGGCGGCGGAATGACGATGATGATGGGGCAGCAGGTGTACGGCTCGCCGCCTTCATCGTCGCCGTATCACCACCACCATCAGTTGGCCATGGCAGCAAAGCACACCACGGGGAGCGGCGACGGCGGCGGCGGGAGCTCAACTTCTTCCACAGGGATTGGAAGACAAGGGAGGATTTAAGCCATTGGTATACACGAAGATGATGCACTCCCATGCTGCTCTTGTTCTCTTAGTCTATTCTTTCCTTCCTGTAGTGCAACACTTGCATGGATTTGGTGCTGCAAACTTCTCCTCTTCCTGCTGTATCTGCTTGCAACTATATTATGCTCAGAACCTGTTTGGCATGGGGATTTCATCATACATTTTTGCTACATTTTTGGGTCTTAGCCAAACATTTGATGTGAGTTCTTTGCAGCAGTCTTTCATCTCTCATTCCAATTTATTTTCCCTCAGGAAGAAAATTTTATGACCAGTATTGTCAAGCACATAACTCAAGAAAATTTCTACCCCAAAAAAATCATGCTAGAAATTGTATTATCCAAATTGCTTCCCAGTGATTTTGTATAAATATCTCTAAATCCATTTGGTATGAAAATTATATAAAATTTGAGTTAGGCAGCCTTCTCGGGGTACACAAATCTGCAGGAGAGGACAGCCTCAGTGGCATGGATAAGGATACATATGAGGCTACAGATTGGATTACACCGAGGTGAGTGGCCGCAAGATCTTTGTATGTTGCTGCGACAATGAAGCAGCAGGAGAGGCTCTGATTGGCTATGGCTGGCTACTCTCCGTGTTACAAACTAATTAGGCTCGTCATCGTCGATAGATCTTTTGAGGACGGAGAGAGATGCGGATGGCAAGGAAACGTTGTGCGGCATCGCCATGCAAGCATTCAGCCCCCCACTGCTGCTTTGATACTGGTGGATTCTGCTTGCAGCTTTTGGTGCATGTTTTCATTTGTTTTGTACAATAGCCACTCTTCTGCAGTCATCCCATTTCTGATGGAGTCAATGATTCTTTCCAACACTGTCATCAAATGTAAAGATCACCGGCTGCTGGTTCGATACAGATTAGAACTTGTTGAAGCATATACTTCCCCAAGGCAAAGCAGTGAAAGATGACTCTAAAGATCATACTTTTGCAGAAGCTATAGAAAGCCATGCAAAGTTGCCTCAATTATTTGCCAAAGTGAAAGCTTACGGCGTGCTTGATATATACATCCATACATATACCAATCAGATGCAGCAGTTGTGCATCCTTCCAAGGAAGGTTGCTCGTGAAGCACTCTTTCGGATATATGGCAATTTACAGTGACTTGGACCAGCACAAACAATTTGCATGGCAGCTCAGCATTCACTTCATGGAGAGTGACTTGGAAACTCACTCAGCTTAATACATGCAAAGCAACATCATGCTGTCATAATGATTCACCTTTGATTCACATCTTCCGTTTCTGTGCCGTGCCCCAAACTTACTCTGGAAGACAGACAGAGAGGAGGAAGTTGATTTAACATAATGTGACCCAAAGCATACGAATCAATAGTCTCCATGATTGAGAGTGGATAATGACTCGTCGTACGAGTATATAATAGGACGCAATGAACTACTACTACCAGAAAGAGTACAATGGTAGGGGCAGTCGTCCTATCGTCTGTACCAGCACGAATCACGAGGTTTTAACCCCCAAACTTCGCGGCAGGGTCGGTTGGTCAACGACTGGCCGCTTCTCTATTCTTCGCTAATGAACCCGAATCAATTGTGATTTGGGTTCCGGACTCCCTTCGACCCGGGAATAGATCCCATCCAATCCGCCCCGATCTGTTGTCGCTCCAATCCCCCGTCTCGACCGTCCTCCTCCAATCGCCTGTGCCTACCAGCCGCATGATAGATGGGACCCACAATGGCGGACGGTCGAGCGAGTTGGAGAGCATCCCATCCGCTCGCTCCCCGACCCACGGCTTTACGTTTCCCCTTTCCTTTTCCTAATTTTCAATTTCTTATTGGAATCCGGGAGCGAGAGCGAGGGCGGGTCGAAATGGGGAAACGTTTTGCTTACGGCTCTCGGCTTTGAAGTTTTGGGAGGCACCACCTCCTCCTCCGCCTTCGTGCACGAGTCTGCGGATCAACGGGTGACTTCTTCCCGTGGCGGTAGGTTCGTTTGATTTCGTTCTTCTCCTCTTCGATCTGACCCCCCTCACTATTCGATTGCCCCAAAGCTTGTTCTTGCTCAACCCTAATTCGGCTCTTCCTTGGTTCTTTCCCTAATTTATAGCTTCGCTAGTATTTTTCTGGAACTTCGCTAGTATATTCGTCTCTTCCTTGGTTCTTGCGATTTCCATGTGATTCGGTTCTTACGCCGGAGTTCTAAGGTGGTCCGAATCAAATTCTTGGAGTCCTTTGCAATTTCGTTTGATATTTTGGGCGAATTGTATAGTGCAACTCGATCACCCGATTGGCGTTTTGGTGTTATCAATATGAGGTACTTTTGGGGATCGCTGGGAGCCGATTATCTTAATCATGCCCCAAAATGTTCGTTCGGCTTAGATGGGGTTAGGGTGGGATTTTGTGGTGGCTGGCGAGATTGAACATGTGCTGTGTCTAACCATGGTGCTATGGTTTGCAAGACGTGCACATGATCAACCGCTGGTTAAAGGAAAGGATAGAGAAAGAGAACCAAAAATGGTCGATTTTCTTCATGGGGCTGAGCAACATGCTTTTCTTGGCTTATAATTCAATCTAATATGTCTCGATAGCCTGCTCGATGATTGATATGGTCGATAGTGATTCCCTGGTGGTTTGAAAATTTGGGGATTTAACAGTGGTAGTTTTCCTTTTCTGATTTAACAGTAATCAAGCTACGACAGTACCAACAATAGAGAACATCTTTGAAGGCTAAATATAAATCCTCCAATCGTATCTCACTTCAGCTTTTTTAACAAGGAAACATTGTTGTGGCATTGGTTTACTTGTGTAAAAGCTTAGCTGGGTCTTGGCTTTTGTTCCAACTTATAAGCATCTATATTTCTTAATTCTTGGTTATTGTACTGTTCAGATAGTTACAATATCCAATCAATCAGTTCCCACATCAGTCTGGGGTCTCTTAAGAAATACAAAAGATCCTGTTATTTTGATGGGCAATACAACTTTGTTGAATGTTGCATTTGCCCATGCTCCTCGACGCATTTGTATGCCAAAAAAGGGAAAGCTTACTCCTTGAACCTACTTATGTGTTGTTAATGCAGATCGTAGACATGGATTTACTTGTAATCTAAATAACATTTAATCTATCCCAAGGAGGGCAGGAAGGATACAAAGGTTTAGTTGAGGAGTTGTACATTGTGCTTTTATAGGGCATATTCAGTCTGCCAAAAACAACTTCTGTTGGACTTGTCTTCAGCTTGAATGTGCTAAAGTCAGGTTTCACGAACTCGAATCTAGTATTTTTTTAATGCCGTTTATTTTTAACTTTTGGAAGAGATGTTGAAATTGTGATTCAAGAAAAAAAATAGAATTATCTGAAAATTGCATTTTGATATTAATTTGGTGCGCTATACCATATCATGAAAGTTTGGCGTCTGATAGCCTTGATTTGCCTGGAGTGTGCTGCTGCTTCTGTTATATCCTTACTATACGTATAAAAGGTGAAAAACGAGTAGTTGATATTCTGTTAATTTTTTGTGCAAGGGTTTTCTAAATTTTTATTATCACATCGAATTGAAATAAACATGTTGGATGTTTTTGACAGTGGTTTTAAATTTTAGTGAGATTCAAGATGCAACCAATATGTTTCTTTATTTCTTTTTTTTTGTGGATAAATGACTCAAAACCTACTGAGTTTAGGTTTTTTGGTTGTTCTAGCTGAGACCAGCCTGACATCTTAGTTTATAAAAAAGAGAAAAGGAGCTCTTCTTGCGTCTTATGCTTGCAACCCATTTCTCTTTTCCCTGCCCCTCTTTTTAATTTGGCCATGTACCGTTGTGGTTGCTTTTGTTCACATATTCTGTTGTTTTATTAGCCTCTTCCTTCTGTTGTGGCATACAGAAAGTTTTTTCCTGAACCAATGTAAGAGGCATTATCAGGTTAAATTCACCTAGGATCTGAATCCGATAATCATCAGATTTGTGCGGGTTTCAGATTCACATTTGAGTTTATCAGACCTTAATTTGCAGATGGACCCAAAATTTTTGGTTCAGCTTTCTGGTTATTGGTTATCATTGACACCCTTACCATTGGTGGTTTTCTGCATTGTGCCTGTTCGACACTTCCACCACATATTTATCAGTTTGTAGCTGATGGCATTGGCTCATAATTGAAGTTGGGACGGGAGATATCTTATACCCTTATTCATGAGGCCAAAATTATGTATATGGGAGAGAGTGACTTTACTTTAGCTATTTTTGTGCAGTATATCATTCTTTTGGTAACAATTACCAGCTACTATACCAGCATCTATATCATTCTTTTGGCTGTCAAATCTATAATTTATACACATAATCTTATGCTCTTTCTTCTGTTAATGAATTTGGTTGATGAATGGTTCTGTCTTGTTATTATTACTTGTGATCTTAGTTGTTTAGGATCTTTTTCTTAGATGAAGTATTAGCTTAAAATTTCTCAGTTAGACCTTGTTTCTACATTTGTTGCTAACATATAGTGGTTTCTTGATTTTAATAGCATGCAATCTCATTTTAAGATAATTTCAGGATTATTTCTAGAAGATTATATATGTCAACGGTCTATTTAGGGTCATTCTTCATTCATTTTTGTGTACTTGTCCATCATTATCCTACATTCTTCCTAGTAGTTTATAGGATATTTGTTGCTAGTGGAGTTTCACTTGCTTCCCATTGGATGGTTGCAGGGATTGGTACATGTTTTAGTTCATGTTACAGGTATGGCTATGGGTTACACCACTTAGCTTGGTTCATTATCCTGGGTGATAGTTCATATTGAATCACTTTCTCATGTAACCTGCTATGCTAGGATCACATGCCAATAATGAGATTTAATTCCCAGTTTTTATGTTTTGGATCACATGCTACAGTAAGGGAGTGGAATTCTTATCACAATTCCAATAGGGTTGGAGTGATCCTAATTATTATGGTCCAGTTTTTATTGACTTCTACTTAATCAACCTCTGCTTTATTCAAGTTGAACTCATATGCATTTTAGAAAATGCGTCATCTTGGTTGACAGAATTGACAATTGATACAATTATCTTCTCTCTGAAAGGTACTTCTCTGATGGTTTTGTGGTAACAGGAAAAATTAGTTCTTGAAGAACCAGATGCTGCTGTGTTCTGTGACACAATTCAGCATATAGTAAGATGTTGGTCGAAAGTATCAAAAGAAGCACAGATTTATTGATTTTTGGCTTCACTGTATCTAATTAGCTGTCTAAGCAAGATAACATGTAATTTTAGATATGTCAAAGGGTCATTCAGAACAAAAAACTCATACTGGGAGGAGAACCCTTGGAAGGTGCAAAAGCAAGACTATCGAGATCATTGATATTGACAAAGGGAAAGCTGATGTTATTATCATTGATGCCCCAGAATCTTCCCATCAAGGATCTGGGTGTTCTAGGTTTAACAATTGTAGTAGCCCGGTTACTGTTATTCGCATCGATGATGAAGAGGGAGATATTGGTGACACTCCCTATAATGCAGGTCAGGATTTCTCAACCAACAGAGCTTTTTCTGTGTTTGGCAATTGTACAATGGACACAAAAAACGATAATGATGATTGTCGAATGTTTCTTAAAGAGGGTCGTTTCTGTTCTAGCATGACTGGGAAAACCACAATGCATCCTGTTTTTGGTTCTCCTAGAAATCGCTATGGTATATATCCTAATTATCCAGAAAGCAGTTCATCTGAAAGTGATAGTTCAGAATGTGACACTAGTGAAAGTGACAACTCTGACTGTGAGATTATGGAAGATTCTTCTGGACTTATCCGAGAACAGTGGGAAAGAGCTGCTTTTATAAAAAAAAAATCACGAACAGTTCAAGTTGGTTCTGAGGATCAGGCTAGTGCATCAGGATCAAGTGCTGATCCTGGTTTTCCATTGGCTGAACCTACCCAAAATATGGTTGATTTGGAAGACATTATAAATGAGAACTGTTCAGAGCATTTGAAAGGATTATTTGGCAAGTGTGGTCCAAGTTGTTCAAACAGTGGAACAAACCTCACCTCTAAGACCAAGGGCAGTGAACCTAATGGAGATCCTTTTGTGGGTAGTACTAGCAGAAAAGACTGTAGTGCAGATTCAGATTCCTCTACTGGCATCAGTTCTGAAGGGCCCAGTTTTGAGAAGGGAAACATAATTTCTGAAAGTAGTCTACCCAGAGCCCAGTTCTTGGGAACTATTGATCTTAACAAAGTTTCTACTCCAGACGTACAAATGCAAAGCAACATCCATTCCAAAGTTGATGAGTTTGGGCTAATGGAGAGAGCTGAGGAAGTTTCTTTTGGAAAATCTTCCTTCACAGATGCATTTAGGGTTGAAACAAGCTACCAGGATCAAGGTGGAACTTGTCCTGGAAAACCGTCTGAAGCTTGGGATGGAGAATGCTTATTTTCAGACAGTGTTGGTTTTCAGAATCAGAAGGAAGATGTGCTTTACAACCAATCACTACATGAAACCCCTCTTAATCATGAAGTTAGTGGTGAGGCAAAAGAGAACTCGTCCAAGGAACAAATGCATCCACTTAATGACCCACTGCATGATGATCTACGAATGAAAGATGGCAGTGGTTGCTTCGACTGTGACATTGATGCCATTCATGGAGACTCAACTCTTGAAACTAATCCAGAAACTGGAGCATCTATTCAAGATTTATCGCTGTCTAAGAGTGATGTTATTGGTGATCTTGGAAAGCAGAACAAATATATGATAATGCAAAATGTACCTCAGATTCAAAGTGATATAACTGGTGAACGTGAAAAGCACAAGGAATCTGAGGAGTACAAACGTGCTAATGCAGAAGAATGGGAATCTAGGAAGCGGGAGATACAGATTCAGGTTTATCATCCTATTCTGTAACTTACAAATTTTGTTCAGTCCGGTTTAAGACATTTCTATCTTCCATCACTCCCTAATAGTTAATGGTAATTGAATATCAATTGCTGAAGTTCCTCCCAAACAATCCATGTAGAGTTCAAGTGGAATTTTATCAATGCCTGAAATCTTCTCCCAAATTGCCTCCAGATGACTTATCTCACCAAGCATATGTACTTTTAGTTCTCTTATGCTTTTCAAGTTCTCTCAATCATGCATGAAGAGGAAACAGTTCTTTATATCTTTAGTAATAAGAACTACTGATCACTGCATTACTTGAGTGATTTTGTTAGTAGTAACTAGTTATTCAAACAATTTATGAACATAATGGGGCTTCTGTAGCAGAATATGTAGTCTGTCTTTAGTTCACCACATGTAATATTTAATACAAATGATTTTGTTACTAGTAAACTATTTATTCAAACAATTTTTGAACATAATGGGGTTTCTGTAGCAGAATATGTAGGTTTTCCCCTTGGGTTACCGCATGTATTATTTGATACAAATGATTTTGCTAGCAGGAACTAGTTATTCAAACAATTTTTGAACCTAATGGGGCTTCTGCAGTAGAATAGGTAGTCTTTGTCTTTTGTTTACCACATGTATTCTTTAATACAAATGTATTTGTACATCAGGTATCAAATGGTTTCCTTTTCTGTTTTGCAGGCAGAAGAAGCACAGAGGTTACGGAAGAGGAGAAAAGCCGAAAGCTTGCGGTTGTTGGACATGGAGAAAAGGCAAAAGCAACGTGTAGAAGAGATCAGGGAGTCACAAAGAAAGGTATTCAAATGTTTGGCAGCCAAATGGTCCTAAACCAACAGTTTTGTTTATGCTTTTCCTCTTAAGATTTCCTTTTTCTTCTTATTTGATCCTTAATTTTCTCTGTGTTAGTCTATGATGTAGATAACATAGGAATTCTTTAATGACATCTTTATTGTGGACATTTACTAATTTGTCTGTCAAATTCAGGATGAGGAAACTATACATCTAAAAGAACTTTTCCGTGCTGAAGTAAGAAGGGAACTGGACAAGATGGAAGGGAGATTTAGGGACATGGCTTCACTTCTACGAGGACTAGGCATCCATGTTGAAGGGGGCCCATTTCCCTTGTCACATGAGGTTTGTTGCTTACAGTGATCACATTCTTCTTCTGGCTACGCTAGTTATTTGTTCTATCGTCCTGGTTTTGGAATTATGGAATGGTGATCATTTAGCTATTTATTTTGTGTTGCTCTTTCGTGAAGAATGTTGGTTATATATGATGTATTGTACAAAAGAATATTCAGGTTGTCTTGCATTAGGTCTCAAACTAAACGTGACACTTGTTACAGAACCAACCATTAGGTAGAGCTTCTTTTGTGGATCCCGAATGAAGCCTTTTTTTTTCCTGGGCATCATACAAAACAATAGAAATAAATTGCAGTGAACTCTTAATTTCTTCATTAATTTTAGTAGGACTTCATACCAATTAGGTCAGGGTGGCCTTACATTTACACTCGTCTATATTCCAAGAGACCTGAAGTGACAAGTAGATTGTGGTCCTTGATAGGTTATGCCTTTGTGTAGATTGTCAGGAGGTGCTTTCTTGTAATGGTTTTTATTTTTGAAGGGTTAAACCATCAGTTTGCAAGACATGACCTTGAAAATGTGTGTGCTGTACAGTACCCGTAAACTTGACTTGATGAAAATTAGTGGCGTGTTGTTTTATGATTTTGAGATATTCATCCTCCAAATGCTTGTTACTTAGCAAGGATAGGCTCGTAATGGTTGTTGAGTTGGGATGTGCTTTAGAATATAGTAGAAGTTATAATTGCAAGGTTTGTTGGTAGTGGCAAGACATGGCTTTATGTTCATCGTTTGTCTCACTGTTTGTCCATAAAATTTACAGGTTAATGCTGCCTATAAACAAGCGTTGTTGAGATTCCATCCAGACAGAGCTTCAAGGACCGACATTCGTCAACAGGTTGAAGCAGAGGAAACATTTAAAATGATTTCACGCTTGAAAGAAAAGCTGCTGCCGGTAGCATAATCCCTGCAGCTATCTTATGAAGGTATCTAATGGCCTTTACCAGCATTCTCGAGTTACCAAGGTTGGTGTGCTATCCATGCAGCTCTCTTCCAACAACAGAAATTTACTCGGTAGCTTTTCCACACCTACTGCCACAGCACATTCTCCAGAAGATGTGCATTTGTAGTTAGTTCTTGCAGTTCGGCTGTAATCAGTGATGATTCTTTTTCACCTCCTTTCTTCTCTTTGCTGGTATATAGTGATTCAAGAGTAATCTTGTCATCGATCAGGTTCTTTTTTTGGCATGTCCACGTTGCTGACTTATTGCTTTGTGTTAAACAGAACAACTTTGTGGAGATTCTGATATTTCAAGATATTTCTATTTTTCATGTCAATAAGTAGTGGGTAGGAGGTCAGAAACCTCATTGCTGCGAGTGACATGGTAATCGGTGCAATAGTATGTTCTTTGAGCTATGATTGTTACCTATTGGCGTGGAACATGCAGCTGAAATTATCCAAAAAAAATATTTTTTATTTATTAGTGTGCAATATAAACAACTTTTAGGAAAAGAAAAATCCAACAAAAAGGAAGAACTATACATTTGTTGGTATGGTAAAATAAGGGGGGATAAAAAAAATGGTGCCCACAGGGTTGGCACAATCTTAATAGATAAGGATTTAAGTATTTAATTTAATATTATATTTTTTTTTTATAAAAAGAATAAGTGAACGAAGGGATTCGAGTATCAAAATTTTTGATATGAAATTATTAAATGATGTTTCAGACTTACATCTGATGAGATGGATGTTCTACTTAGATTGATTAATGAGTCTAATATATCATCAAGTATTAATTTAGTTGGTAAAAATTTTAATAATTTATCTCAAGTATCTAAGTTCCAATATCATCTTTTATCATATACTCTTTTGTAAAAAAAACAAAATATTATATTAGTTTTTATTAAAAACTATAGTGATTAAAAACTATAATTCAGACTTTTGAATTTACCAGAGAAAATAGATTCTTGCAATATTGTCTCGGACCCTCCAACGGACTGTTTCTTGCAAATAGATTCTTTGTACTAATTGGCTTCTTGCTTGACCTCTTCTTTCTCCAATCGGGTACTGCAGAAGCATGACAAGGTTTGCGAAGGTATCTCTATTTTATCCATATATATATATATATATATATATATATATATATAATAGACTTTAATTCATAGCAATAGAAAGATTGCTAATATTATATGCGTGTGGAAAAGAAACCCTTTCACCGCAAAAGTAGGCGTAAGGAAGCAGAGTCTGTGATGACACCTCTAAAAGCAAGGGGAAGCCTACCACATTGCCATTTGCCAACCATCCCTCTCTTCTCTCCCTTCTCCCCATCTTCCTCCTCGTCATCCTCCTCTTCCGTGCATTCCTCCAACAAAGCAGCCTCCAAGGGAGGAGGGAAGGAAGGTCGACCCCCCCCCCCTCTCGCTCTCTCTCTCTCTCTCTCTCTCCGCTTCCCTCCTTCCTTCCCCTCCCGCTCCCGCTCCCATCCAATCCCATCTCTGCTGTGATGAGAAAACTGTGCCCAAACTTCGACCGCGAAGATGCCCTTGACACCGTCCTCGAGGTCCCCATACCCGAGGAGATGTTCGCCAACATGGGCACCGGCGCCGCCCGGTGGCAGAACATGAGGACGTGGCTCAAGGCCCAGGCCTTCGACAGGGCCGCCACCGACGCCCCCACCGAGCTCTCCGGCCGCAGCGCCGAGCTCCAGCTCCTCCTAAACGTCGTCGGCTCCCCCCTCATTCCCTGCCCCGTCCCCATCGACCGCGCCTTCAGCCGCTCCATTCGCGATTCCTCCATTGTAAGTTACGTCCCTTCCCATCTCCTTCCATATCTATCACGTAACGTAGTGTTGTGCATGTCCCCCGTTTGATCGTGATACCTAAGTGCATGTCACTGCACCACGTATTGTTCCTTGATCCATCCACCATCAGCTTCATTACCGAAACGCATCCTCTCGATCATGTCTTATGATCATCCGCCAGCATCATATGACACCGTGGTTATCGACGTTCCCCTGTTCTTGAAGCAAGCGTCGACGGCCAAGTACATCATTCAGCAGTACATCGCGGCCACTGGAGGGCAAGCGGCGCTAACGTCGGTGAACAGCATGTACGCCGTGGGGAAGGTGAAGATGAGCGCGTCGGAGTTCCACGTGGGCGACCAGACCGTGGCCGCCAAGGGCAGCGGCGAGATCGGCGGGTATGTCCTGTGGCAGAAGAACCCCGACGTCTGGTACTTCGAGCTCATCATGGCCGGCTGCAAGATGAGCGCCGGCAGCGACGGTAAGGTGGCCTGGAGGCAGTCGGCCTCGGAACAGTCCCACGCGTCGCGAGGCCCTCCACGCCCTCTCCGCCGATCTCTGCAGGTTAGACTCCTGATCATCTCGTCCGATGGTTGCTGATAGCCATGAGCTTTCCCCTATAACTATGGATTCTGCAGGGCCTGGATCCGAGGTCTACGGCCAACCTCTTTTCCGACGCAGTCTGCATCGGTGAGAAGATCATCAATGGCGAGGAGTGCTTCATCCTTAAGCTGGAGGCGAACCCGGCGACCCTCAGAGCTCGCAGCGCCGCCACCTTCGACATCATCCACCACAAGATCTGGGGTTACTTCAGCCAGCGCACTGGCCTTCTCATCCAGCTCGAGGACACCCATCTCCTCCGCATGAAGGCGGGCCGGCGCGGGGAGAGCATCTTCTGGGAGACCAGCATGGAGTCCGTTATCGAGGACTATCGCTACATCAACAGCATCAACATCGCGCACGCCGGCCGGACCATGGTGACGCTGTTCAGATACGGCGAGGGGTCAGTGAACCACAAGAGGAAGATGGAGGAGTCCTGGACCATCGAGGAAGTGGACTTCAACCTATGGGGGCTCTCCACGGAGTGCTTCTTACCACCTGCCAACCTGAAGAAGGAGCAAGATGGCGACGACAGCCATGGAGGATGAGACCAGCCATGTCTCCCCATCTTTTTTTGTTAGAGATTCCGCGCTTTTACTTCTCTTTGCACTCGAAGGTGGTGGTGGTGGTGGTGGATAGAAGGTAGAGATTTTGGACGCTTGTCAAGAGAGAGAAAGAGAGAGAATGGGAAGTAGAGGAAGAATGTTGACGTTCGAAAGGCAATCCATCTCCTTGTGTTCGATAAAATGATTGCCGCAAAGCTTGATGAGTGAGGCCACGAAGCAGACTCTCATAATGCTTATTTATTTGAGCTATGATTCACCACACAAGGATCCAAATCTAGTGTTAGCGTTTCAATGTTTGTCTTCTCCAGCTTAGTAGATCTGATCCCGATATCAGAATCTACCATTACAGTTTCTAAATTTTGGGAATCTAAACCGAACTACATAGCGCCGATTCTAGAACCAAAACTAACCCATGATTCCGGTTCAAAACATTAGTGTTTTTATTTTTAATTTTAAATTAAAAAACCATAATTTAAAAGTAAAAAATTATAAAATTTTTAAATCATGAATTACTTATTCGAATTGGAACTATGGCTCAAGCTGGAACTATCAATTTTAGTTCAAGAACCACACTCGAGTCGCTCAAGTTTGATTTAAGACTCAGACAAACTATCAGACGAATTCAGTTTCAGTTTTGATAGCGAAAATAACGATGCTGCCAACTCACCCGACCACCCACGCAATGTCATGGGCGGAAGGGCCTACAATCTCACTCTGTGGCTGACGGAAGGATCGTGATCCATCGCCCCCTACCGATCTTAGAAAAGGCCGACAATGAGGCTCATTTCTCTTTGCACTTCCTCGAAGTTGTCTACTACAAGAAAGTTGATGTCTCCTCCACCAACCATAGTTTCGGGAAGAGCCGCAAGCTTAATGCTGGAGAACATTAATCCCCGATGGCATGATTTAGTTTCTCTCACTTCTTTTACCAAATGACTAGCTCAGGGCACAATCCCTTGACGAACGTTCTTTCTTGACGTCACTCACATAGGGGCGTGCTCATCAGCTATTATCATTAATGAGCTCCCGAGTGACATAATGGGCACTCTTGCCCATCGTTGGCCTCACACCACCATCCGCCCAAGTATAAAAGCTAGTCCCCAACCAAAAGGGGGTAAGCAAAATCAAGCTAAACTCTTCGAAACTCTACTAAACTCTTCCCCACTCCCTTACTAACTTAATCATAGGAGGGGTTGGGTTAAGACATCCTCCCTGTTGGGAAACCTGGGAGAGCATCACATGCACAGTGAAAAAATAAAACAAAAATTAATTTTTAAAAAACAGATTTATTTCAAATCGCGTGCGACGATCGGGAGCGAAAAACTCGTGAAACCAAAAACTGCATAAGACGTGAGACGATCTCACATAAGGAAACTTATATATCCTTAATCTGCATATCTTAGTCTGTGGATGAGGGAGATATTGCATTCTCCTCTCTAGCGGTGATCCATATGATGGATGAAGCGACGACGTACCTTCTCTCGCGATATATTCTTTTCTCGTTTTCTTGCACCACCACCAACGCAGTCGAGGCAGTCCTTCTTGCTGCCCTCTTACACTAGAGAGGCGGTAGTTGATCGAGGAAGAAGTAGGAAGATGAATTGGGGAGGTGGTGACTAAGGGGTCCAACCTTATAGTCTTTTTAGTCCTATATCTCTTTTTATAAAGAGCTTTTATTGCTAACCCTAATGGATCCTACACTATTAGTTATTGGATCTCCATCCAATTACCCTAGTATATTGGATACTAGATCTCTATCTAATTATTCCTAGCTTAATGGAAATTAAATCTTTATCCAATTATCCACTCTATGCTCTTATTGAGTCTCACCTAATGAATCTAATAAACAAGAGCTTATTAGATATCACATATACAATCCTCTATTCGTCACATTATTCACTATATGTATATGACCATCTAGGCCCAATACTGAGTTAGCCGTAAGTTACACCTGTCAGAACTTCTTATTCGGTGAATTATTATCTCATGACTATTTATTCAACTTATCAACTATGGACGTACTATACCACTATGCCATAGTCCTCAGACGGTATATGAGGATCTAATCCATTAGACCTGTTTACCTTCAGTTATAGTATATCTATAATCTCTCATTCATCTAATATCACAAAGACCATATATCATACATGGTTCTATCAAGCCCATACGAAATTTACTCTTAAGTATGAGGATTAGACACATAACTAGGACCATGAAACCGTTGTCAAATGATGAGGTATTATTAACTATCTAGCATTGTGTAAGCGGATCATTCAGTGAACTCATTTTCTAATGAGCACATGCCTTATATCACTAGTGTCCCCTCACAAGCAGCGAGACCAATTGGCTTCATATGATAGGTATATAGTACATTTATCTCTCCAGTTATCTCAATGTCCCTTTCAAGTAATCTATAATCAGGAATATTTATGGTTTATGTTTATAGGCGAATTAGTCTCATTATTAATATCTCATCATGATCTAATTCTCATTTCACAGATCCATAGACATCATAATATATCAATCAGGTAATATAAAGTGAAAAATATAATAATAATAATAATAATAATAATAATAATAATAATAATAATAATAATAAATAAAGACTATGTAGCGTGTCACATGTGTTATCACTCACGTGATTATCTTGTAGGGCATTTGTAACTAGCAATCTCTCACTTGACCTAAAGCCAAACACCTATGTATTTGATCCTCATCAGACTCCTATAACGCTCCAAAACAGTTTAAGATAATGACTTTATCATTGGATTTACGATGTTATCTTCTGATGGAACTCTTTCCACTACTACATCACCATATGCTACGATTTCTCTGATCAAGTGGAACCTCCTTAGAACGTGCTTGGACTTCTGATGAGACCAAAGTTCCTTCGCTTGAGCAATTGCCCCGTTATTATCGCAATATAAGGAAATCAGCTCCTCGTTGCCCCCTTCCAAGAGGGATGAATGAAAGAGAAAATAACAATGCTGTCAACTCACTCGACCACCCTAGCAATGACGTGGGTAGAAGGGCCCGCAATCTCCCTCTGCAACCGATGATGGGAGCATGATCTACCACCCCTTGCCTATCACAGAAAAGGTCGACAACGAGACCCATCTCTCTCTTCCCTTCGCGGAAGTCGTCTCCTATAAGCAAGCTGACGTCTTCTCCACCAACCATAATTTCAGGAAGGACTGTACGCCCAATGCTAAAGAGTATTAATCCATGGCAACACGGCTCAATTTCTCTTACTCCTCTTACCAACGACTGGCTCAGGGGATCATCCCCTACTTATCCCTAACAGGCTCAAAATCCTGACAAATAATATCATCACGATCGTCCTTTCCTAATGCCACCCACAGAGGAGCGTGCTCATCAACCATTGTCATTAATGAGCTCTCGGGCAACACAGAGGGCACCTTAACCCATCGTTGGTCTCATGCCATTGTTCGTCCAAGTATAAAAGCCAACCCCCAACCCTAAAGGAGATAGGTAAAATCAAGCTAAACTCTACTGAACTCTTTCCCGCTCCCCTACTAATTTAATCATCAGAGGGTCATGTCAGGATATCTCCCTGATGTTGACCGCTTGTGTCTCGACAAAGCTAAAGCGTGCCTCGAGACGATATCGAATCTGTCTTGGCAAAGAAGTCGCTCCTCGGGATGACTTCAAATCAACCTCTGCAAACAAACAACACCTCAGGATCCCGCTTGCCAGCTCGACTACCTGCTCGGAATATCCCCATGTAACCTCCGTGGGTCCCTTGGATGGACTTGCGCTTTCGGAATCGAACGAGATCGTATTAACCATAGCTGCATCAGTCACATATGACACAACAACAGGATCACATACCTTCTGCAAAAGCCGTCACTAAAGCTGCAAGGGAGATGTAGCTGTGGGTCAACCGAACCAAGCCATCACTTAGCAAACGACAATGAGGAGGGAGCTCATCCCTGCCTTCAGGAGGAAGCCACCATGGTCGATGTCAGTGGAGATGTCACTTGAGGGCCCCAGGCCTCCTAGTAATCCATTGGTAGGGGTGATGCTGCTTGCTGTCGTGCCTGGGGTGCTTGTCGTTGATGTAGAACTTGTGCCTGCAGCACTGGAGGAAAAAAAGCAATTAGAGAGAAGATATCAGACAGAATAATATACTGTTCAGAGAGAGAGAGAGAGAGAGAGAGAGATTTTTATACCTGGGAGTTGCAGGGTAGGTGCAACCACTGTAACCTGTAAGCAAAAGGATGGGAAGATAGAGATCGATACAGCAATTTACATGGGCAAATGTGTGGAGAGATGGGGGATTGAGTAGATAGATTCAAAGGCTTACTTGGGTCTGTGGTGGTGAGAGTAGCAGTGTCTGAGAAATCACAGGCTCCTTTGTGCCTGCCCCTTCCTCTGGAAGTAACTGTTAGCAGAATAAGAGCAGTGGGCTCTCACTGTATTAGGGTTCCAACAAGCTCCATTTTGGTGAATGGCGATGCAATCAGCTCCTGCTCCACAAGCACAGACTAATGTCTTCTGCAGAGCAACATCAGCCATCTCTGGTTTGCAGACACACCAAGCAGCCTCTGCCACCAGAAGAAGCACAATCTATGATATCAATGTGTGAAATGTGGGGAGAAGAGTGACACCATTCCTCCACAAATATCAAATGAGAAACTAAAAATTGATCCTAAACATTTGTTAGAAACCGAGGAAGGATTAGCATCACCCACATTTTTGGAAACCACCGTGTTCCATGTAGTTTCTTAATGAAAGAAATATAGCATAGAGATTGACATCTTTCTGCAAACAAATACAGGACTGAAATCATCTCCGATTTTTTTTACTTCGAAAAAAGGCTTTTAGAGAAGGCCAGAAATAAATAGCAGTGCATTGTATACTATGAGCTTGAGAATGAAATGAGCAACCAAACTTTTAGTTCATCAAAAGGAAGGAAGACTAAAAGAAGAGGCCAGAACAAGAAGAAGATCTCCAACAAAGGGAGCTCGTTACGAGAGATTCTGAAAGATGAGTTCAAGTGAACTAAAAGCTCACCTGATCCACCAGTCATGGCCAACACGAGAGCTACAAAAGCTAGAGCAGCTATGAGAGAGAGTGAAAGAGAGATGGTAATGAGAGGTACTAGTGGAGAATGGAAAACTATGGACAAGGATCAGGAAATGGAAAGATGTAGATGGCGCCTTTGGGTGATCTGTGGCTCACCGCAGGGCCTTTTAATTGCCTCACACACACTGAACAATTCAGTGCCTGCCGCTCTGCATACTTGCGGCCTCCTTTGCCTTTGACTTTTGGCTGTTGCTTGTTGATGGTCACAAGTGATATGATGGAGTTGAGAGGAGATCCAAAGTACGACCTGTGTCCTGATGTTCTTGTAAGTCTGCCGTCTCCATATGCCCACAGTGGCATCATCATGTAGATTCCATGATTTGATGATCATTTCTCTGTCACCCGTCTTCCGGCCAGTATCTTCTCCTTCTCCTCCTCCTCGAGAAAATGGAAGGAGCAGCAATGCGTTTAACTGCACCTGCAAGTCGATCATTTTTTCCTTTTTTTGAGGTGTTGACTCGTTTAATTTTGTTATTGTTTATATTGTTTTTTATACTTGTAATCTGAACAACACACCCTAAAAAATGGACTTCTTAGGTTCTCCTATGTTACACAAGTTCAACTCAGAACAACACACAATATTTCCAGCAAGAGTGGAGCAGTAGTGACTTCAAAGTTGGAAGAGTGCTCAACCTTTGACAGACAGGAGCGGATGGCCAATGGTTGACAGAGCTTAAATGCGAGACCTTTCTAACAAACTTCGAATATTTTATCCCCTTCTCCTCTGATAACACATCAATGAATGCTAAAACCTGATCAAAAGAAGCTCTCAGATCGCCGACCGTGTGGTTCTGGCTTTATGGGTTCGCCTGTGAAAGGATCATATTTGTAAGGTTCGCCTGTGAAAGGATCAAACTTCATTTGTCGGCGCTCGACAGGATGTTCCTTGGGGCTCAGATGCGAGCTGGATCCTATACCAGGTCCGTATCGCATGGAAGAAGCTGGAACTCGGTAAGATGGTGTTATGTCTTCCAATTTCCTTACGCTTGATCGAGATGGCAGTGGACGATCATAGAGTGAAGACGAAGAAGAAGAAGGGAACAGGGCTGGAGATAACCTGTTCCTGCTAAGGGGCCATCAGTTCCTAAGGTCAGATACACATCTTGTATAAAATGGAAATTTTCACTGGAATATTGCTAGTAATGCTTCGGCAGTCTAATTGTTGCAGTTTGCTCAACAGAAAACTATCGTTGAGCTTTAAGAATCATGGCACCAACAAAACAGGAAAAAAATGCAAATTTAACAAGTATGTAAAAATGTCTATAGCCAAGAACAAATCTTAGGGGAAAGAAAATATGCAAATGAAAAGTAGGAACTATGAACCAACAACAGTTAAAAGTAACTCTGAATGAGGTAAGGCCATATTGAAAAGATAGGATATCAGAAACCCTAAATTGTACAGAAGCCATAGAAGTATCATCATCACATTAACATGCAGATGTTGTCAAAAAGTAATCTTACAAATGAGATGTTTCCTTTAGTCCCGAAAAAGAATTCGTGAGAATGTTAACTATTATTATCATATGCAACTATTTTATCAACTCCTTTATTGTTTATATAGGTCCTTGAGAAGTGCAACACAGAACAAGTGAATACCAAAAAGAAAATATAGATTAGTCAGAAATGTGATATGCAACATGGTTTTTCAAGTGACATTGAAAAGCAATCCACATCTGATGGCAAGGATGGATATTTGAAATTCTGGATAAGCATCAATAGGTTATTCATTCTAAGATCCTGGAAGAAGCTTTATTCCACATGAAAAGAGAAAAGATAACTGACCTAGAAGCAGAATGATCAATTTCTTCTGAACAAAGCTGGGCTCCTAGGCTAAGCAGCTCAGATTCCTTGGGCAAATCAATTCCTTCTGAACAAAGTCGGGCTCCTAGGCTGAACATCTTTCTTGTCTTTTGTGGCACGTAAGATGTGCTGCCTCGCTGACCAAACTTTTCAGCCTGGTGCTGCCAGAAAGATGTTCCAAGACAAGATGATGACATACAAAAACACTAAAGTCAGCAGAAAAGGATAACAAACATTATTAAGGTGGGAAATTATATATATATATATATATATATATATATATATATATATATATATATATATAAAGCTATAAAAATACCTTGGAAACCAGTGAAGCAAAGTATGCTCCTTTATCTTGTCTATCAGCACCCGATAACATAAACTGCCAGCCACAGCCAAGCAAGATGATGAGAATGCTACAGGAATATGAAAGAATTGGAACAACAGCATGAATACAACATTATAGACCTGATCAAGGACAGCAATAGCTGCTGACTCTGAAAGCTCTCTGAGACTAGTTATGCAACGAAGATTCAACTGCCAGCAAGTGCAGATGAGTCAGTTAGAAAAGAAAAACAGGTTTTCAAAATCCCAAACAAGAAAATGGAAGATGGCCAATAAAATTTGGATGCTTGAAAGATTGACTGGTAGCTAAAAGTGGATAAGAAGAAGGGCGAAGCATGAAAACACTTAAACTACATAGACTGCATTACAGTCTTCCATGTGGATTTGTTCTTGGTTCTTCACGGACATTTAAGTACCGCTTACTGCTAGGATTTATTGCAGTTCTAGTGCCTACTTACATCATATCGAGTAGCAATGCCAACACGCAACACTTGAAGAAGGTGTTCCTTCACCACTGCTGGTAATGTGATAACAGCTGCTTCATATGGATCAATAGTGTCAGGTACCTAAACACCAAAAATGGGATGGAAAAAAAAAAAGGGGTAATATCATCTGACTGCAAGATAGGGAGTTACAAATGTTCATATTATACTCAATTTCAGTGTACAATAGCATAAAACACTTGCTCTCTCTTTTCCTGAACAAGAAAAGTTGGAATATAAAAGGGACCAAATTAACCAAAAGGATCGAACAAATACCAAGGCACAGAGCACAAAAATATTAAAACACATTCATATCAAAGAAAATATAAAAAATGTTGAAAAATATAAAACAATATTAACAAACCACAATGTCCCAATTATTTGGGGTAATCTATAGCAATCTTTTTGAGTCATTGAACTCTTGAAAAATATCACTAGTCAAACTAGGAGCTGTTAAACCTTTATTTTATCTTAGATCTTGCACAATCTGCTCTTGCATATCGACTCACTGTATCCAATTAAGGCATTTATAGAACTCCTTTGGACATGTAGTAGTTACGCTAACTTAAGAATGGGAAGAATGCAAAGATACTGCATAACATATAAATTTAAATACTATACAACAAAACATAGAGAATGCATTGAGACCAATTACTTCTGTAAATGATAAGATCTTTTGCAGGGAGTACAGAAGGGAAAAGGAATACCAATGAAAAAATGAAACAAATGCTGAAAATATCATATGAAAAGGAATACCAATATCAAGTACCAAAAGGAAAAACTTAATGTATTTGGAAATACTGGCATGCAGGAAACTTTAGCAAAAGGAAATGAAGGTTAAGTTTCTTGATTAAACAGAAACAGCAAAAGAAATACTAAAAACATTAATTTGTCATTAATTTGCTATTGAAGCCACAATTAGGCAAGTGTCAAGAAAGTGTAACTTGTGCCAGACTGCCAGGATGCATGATTTAATAAATTGCATAAAGGCACAACAAGGCAAGTGTCAAGAACGTGCAACTCGTGCTACGACAGCATGATATTAAGGTCTTATAATTTTTTGCTACAAACGGAAGGGCATTCAGTTTTACATGTTTTAACAGCTTTATTCATAAATAGTTAGAGAGCATAGAATATTTGTAACAGTACAACTCAAGAATAACAAACAGCAAGAAACATGCATGCAAAAACATGCAAATTGATACAGTTGGAAGGGATAAAAAGTCAATTACTACCTGATCAGCAAGTCTAGGTGCTTTTGATTTATGATCTAATGAATCTGAAATGTGGCCATCATACGAAGAATCAGACTGATCTCTGGACCTAGGAAGAGGCTTATTTTTTGGTTCATCACGAGGTCGTTTGCCCATTTCTACAGGCCTTGCAACTGCAACCTATTGCAGGAGCATCCACCAAGTTTGTCAGCACAACATACAGAATTTAAGGGTAAGTTTTAATAAAAGATAAGTTCTAAACGATACTTTGAAGAGAACAATTACTTTTTGATACAAAAGTACAATTAAAGAGCAATAAGGAGAACAATCAGCCCTCGTTTACATGCCTGGATCTTAAACTTTGGACCTCTACGGGGTCCCTGGACTATTTTTCCATCCATTTCTTTGATTGCATTATCAAGATCCTGTAAAGAGAAAGCAACAGATCAAACATGATGCAACAAACAGGAATATAACCAGATAAGCAAAAATAAAGATGAACAGAAATGGAGGTATCTATATTTCTGCTATTGTTTGAAAAGATTTCATGTCTACGAGGAATAAATATCCAAACTTAAGGGGACACCGTTAACACAAGCGAACTTTCATTAGGAAGATAAAATCCATATATAAAAGAGTACTCACTGCACGCTTAGCAAAATGAACAAATCCAACTGGGAAGTGGCCTTTTCTTGATAGTGCCACCCTCTCAACCTGAAAATACAGTATCAATCACTTTTCAATTTCAAAGTTAGTGTCAATTTGCACTTCAAATATGTAGTGCACCTTTCCTAGTGGATCAAATAGCTTCTTTAAATACTCTTCGTCAGCATCGTTTGGAAGATTTCCAATGAAAGCAGCCTTAATCTGGAATGGAGATAACAAAATTTAGGTAAGTTGGAAAACAACTGAATAGCAAGTCAGTCACATGGTTACTTCTCTTCCAAGAAAAAGAGGAAACATCCAATACCCATCCGATACCTTTGATAGTTCTTCCGGATCAATTTCAGGCTCCTTCTCAGCCCAATCTATTACAGGATGCCACTTACCAGCAAGTAGAAAGTCTGCTTTTGATCCAATGCGATATGCACGTGCTGCAGCCTGTGATTGAATTTTTTAAGAGGACAAGATCAAATTGCCTATGATGTGTAGGGCGATGGGAATATGGATTTTGATATTTTGTTTATCGAAGATGACATAATCTAAGATCAAGATCCCAAAGGTCAAATGCATCTTCATTTTAAGTAGTGAAGGAAAAAGCAACAGGGATGGAGAATGCAGATTCAGATGACTGAAAGTTCAAGATTGGAAATTATTTTAATCCAAGATTATGCAGGATATATGATAAAAATTTTGGAGTATGGAATCGAAGACAGATTTAAAACAATATCCAAGTTATATTATAATACAACCACAGTTATGAGGTTATGCTTCAAAAGTAGTTATGATTTGATGAAAAAGAGAAATAGGACTGCAGAGCCTTGAACAGCCACACCAAAAATTGTAGATATGCAAAATTGCAAATCTAGGTAAACAACTTTGGGGTTGCTATTGTAATATCACTCCTTTTTTAACCTCGGTGAATAGGATTCAAGTGATGGAAACATCTTTTCACTTGCAACAGTAAGAGGCCCCGCCCCGTACAAAGGAACCCACATTGGAGGGAGCCACAACACTGGCCACCCTTCGTTTTGAGTAAACAAATTAACAAGGAAACTTAGATGTGAGATAACTCACATGAATACCACAAGCTTTTGAGTTTAATTAAGCAATGAGACAAAAGTAAAGTCTCATAAAAGGTAAGCAAACAAAAGATCAGCAACTTTGGTTGAAACTTTCCATCCTAGTTTTCTAAGGGCACAAGAATTAAGATTGTACTGGATTAATATAAAAAAAGATGAGATAATAAAAATCTGAACTGTCACTTCAGTTACGAACTAAAGATGAATAACTGCCAACAAATTCAGAACCCCGAATGTGAAGAACACATTTCTCAAGAAACTCTTAGATTTCCTGTGAACCCAGTGTTTTATTTTGATGCTCCAACATGAGATGCAATTACCAGAATATCTCCCAAAAACTGAAATCTGCCAAAACATTTAATTGCTCAATATAGCTTCTTCATACATAGTGGGTCTATGCACACGAATCTATTGATTGATAAGTCTTAGAAAAAACTATATAAGAGATCATAACAATATATTCACAAAATCATTAGTCCATAAGAATTAATTGAATCTCAAAGGTTTATTTCAGTGAGATAGTATCTATATGGAAAAATGTGAAATAACCGGAATGTTCCTCATTATTTATATATACATATACATATATATGCATATATATTTATATGCAACTTATCATGCATCTTCTCTGCGATCATGTTCAGTTTCAATGATCCAATACACATGTATCATGCAACCTGATCCTTCAGAAAATGTTCAACCAAATCAATAGGGCCTAATATATAGGGCCTTGGGCAACCAAATAAAAAAACACCGAGTTCAACCCTTCAACATTGAAAATGTTAAATAACTGAATTTATTCTCATTGTAGTTCTTTTGATTTGTCATGCATGCTCAATGATCATGTTTATTTTCAATGATCCACTACTACAGCATGTGTAAGAATCAACAGGCTCTAACAGATATGGATGTACTTCACCAAAATAAAAGATGAGCTCGAGCCTCCTGGATACTTGTCCTAGTACCAATTACTCCAACAATCAAATTGTTAATAATCTTAGTTTATAGTCAACCAAGGTTCATTAAGTCTAAACGTCAGGAACCAACAAGTCAAACAAGAACAGGGTCAAGGTGATATGACACATCAGACTGCAAATTTCCTATAAGTAAATGTGTGATCAGGTCACGATGTTACCATTCATTAGGTGAGTATAATCATTAGCATAAGGCACGGTGGCCTCCATGATTTTATAAGAGGTCTTAGCAGGAGGTCGCACCAGATACTGTTAATATTGATCTGCAAGTCTATCCTCGACAAACAGCGAAACAGACAAAGATTGACAATGCATATACAAAAGAAAAAAAATGGGATATTAGAAAGACAATTTCAAAATGATTCAACTTCCACAGGATTCCAGCAAACACAGCCTAAGATCCATATTACCAAAGTATGGTCTCCTCTATTCAAAAGTTTAGCACGGGGATCTAACCTCCAACAATGAGGGAGATTCACGGTGTGTATTTAAATAAGGAGGTGGCAGAATTGAAGGATTAGATCAAATCCTTCAAGAGGCAATGAGACGATTATGGGGTGGCACTGATGTGCAACAGTTGAACAGGGCCAACAAGAATGAGTATCATCAATTTTTTATTTATAGCAATAGACGGGTGGTGTTTCATAAGTTAGTTAATGCTTCTGACAAGATCTAAGATGCAAACTATATTGAAAATTTGATGGACACCATAGTAGAAGAGATCGGACCATAGTATATTGTCCAAATAGTTATCGATAATGGAGCGAATGTCAAGAGGGTTGGTTTACAATTGATGGAAAAAAGAAAAAAACATTGTTTTGGACTCTTGCAGCACATTGTATGGATCTAATGTTGAAGAATATTGGCAAGCTAGCATCAATCAGCAAGTGTGTAGCTCGAGCATAGTCAATTACAAAGTTTGTATATAATCATCATTGGGTCCACTCTTTAATGCAAAAGTATGCAAATGGTGAGATACTCCGACTTGGAGTCACTCGGTTTGCTACCAATTTCATTGCCTTAAAGTCATTATAGCAAAAGAAGTAGGGCCTCAAGGCAATGGTCACATTACAAGAATGGTCTGATATTAGGTATTCGAGATTGAGCGATGAAAAGAAGATAGAAAAGACCATTCTTTCTACTAGATTTTGGAAGATCGTGAATGAAATCATAAAAGGTGTGGAATCACTTTATGTTGTCCTTAGTAAGGTCGATATGGACAAGCGTCCATAGATGTCTTATCTTAAATATATGTTGATTACAGTAAGAGAAGAGGTCAGGAAAGTATTCAAAGATGATTTTAAGACCGACTAATATTTACAGATCATTGATCGTAGGACTGAAGTTCATATCGATCAAGATATCCATAATACAGGTAAATTTATATTTAGTGTAATTTAATTTAATTTTTATTGTATAAAAAATTTCTACTAACAAAATTATGTCTTGCAGTGTATTATCTAAACCCGACAATTCAATATCGATATACTTTTGGAACGCAAAATGATTTACTAACAACACTAAGAAATGTTATATATCGACTCTTATCAAACACTACTGATGCAACCGATGCTATTATGGAGGGCCGATTATTTCAAGATATAATTAGTTCATTCTCCGACGTTGTAGCTATATCGTGTCGTTACACTATAGATCCTGGTAAGGAAAAGTTACACATATTGATTATCTACTATATTTGATATTAATTATTTATGATGCTAATAAGGTCTTATTTATATCTTTTTATAGTTGAGTGGTGGATACAATTTAGAGGGGATGCACTAAATTTAAGGAAGGTTGTTGTTCGTGTACTTTCACAAACGACAACATCTAGTGGTTGCGAACGTAATTGGTCAACGTTTGTATTGATTCACACGAAGATCTGCAACAAATTATCATATAAATAGTTGAAGAAATTGGTATATGTCCACTATAACATGCGGCTAAGGTTACGATGTGTTGAGCTGGACAATGAGCTAGAGGAACTAGAGATTGATCCCATTAACCTTCATTTCTACAACGAAGATTCAGAGTCGATGTTAGAATGGGTCGAAGCGACGGAGAACCAAAAGGATCCTCTACTTGATAAGGTGAGAGATCCTTAACGTCGTTCGCGTTTTATCACTGAGACAATAAAAAAAGAGGAAGCACGTCCCCAACAGGAGGAAAATCCCTCTTGGTGAGAACGTGGCGAAAGGAGCCAGACAAGATCGAGTCAAACTACCCTAGGAACTAGAGACACCCAACCGTCAAAGTCGTCCGCCCAATGTACAAAGGCAAAGGCAAAGGGGAAAGCAGTAGCATCAGTTGCAACGTTGGAAAGAATCAAGTCCGGCGAGGAGACACCTTTATAATCGCATTCAGCAACTCGCTTGGTCCAAAGACATGGCAGCGATGTGGACAGCAGTGCCTCGACCGATGATGGTGACGACGCCGAGGAGTCGTTGGTCCCGTTTACACAATTTGAGGGTGGTGCATGGACTGAGGAGCAATATTTTACATATGCCACCCAAGATTCAGATCATGGAGATCGACGAGGTACTGGTCGAGTTTATGCACGGAAAGGGAAGGGAAAGCAGGTGGATGATTTTTAGCAGATGCGATAGAGCCTACACGACGTAGACACAGAATGAGTACATCGTATTCACAACCGTCGTATTATGGAAAATCTTACAACCAACTGCAGTAAGATGATAGTCGGTCATACATTTCCAAGCAACAGCATAATACGGAGCAACGATCGGTAACGAAAGTAGAAGTTTTGACATTCACCAATACATGCCTCAGGAGTCGCCTTGGACACGTGATTCATAACGATCAACCTACAACCATCACTACATTGATGCACCAATGGTATACGGTGTATCAATACACTATGTCATGGGATCAATTTTAGGATTTAGTCCAACAAATATATCATACCGATATACAGATACATAGGATCAAGGATCCCGATCCACCACCCGTGGAGGCCGATCATTCGTTTTGGTGGTAGAATCAGGAATATCTACACATGTGATTACTTAATTCATTTGAATCTTAAGGTTTAAGTTGTATACAAAATAATCTCACAATTCGAATAATTTTTTTTGAAGATAATTCAATATTAACGGAAGGACGATCCGAAATGGATCAAAATTACGAGCCTTGCACAAAGCTACTCCTTAAAGCCCGAAAAAGATATGTGATACTATTCTTACCTAATTTATATTAGTTTTGCTAAAACTATACTAAATGTATATTTATTTCTAACTTAAAAATCCTATCCTAACTTTTTGTTCTATTTTTCAAGTATTTTTGGAGGGTTTTATGTCTATTTTAGACATATTGCTCGGTACGTTGGCACCATACCAAACCGAGCAAAGCTCGGTACACTAATACGGTACGAGATTAAAAACCTTACTTGTAGCTATGCTTATTACTATGTCATTACATGCTTCCAGAGCAAAACCAAGTTCACAATCATTGTTTGTCAATAGGATTTTGTCAATGAGAATCACATAAGTGAACTTGCCATAATAAAGTCACATGTCAATCCTTTCAGTTAGTAACTTGTCCACTGTACAAAGGGAAATGACCTTGTCATTATCTAACAAATTAGGTTACTGTTGTGAAAAAGGAGACTCAGTAAATGAGGCTGCCACCAGGCAGGGCAAGGGGAGGATGAATGTTTGCAGTCTTACCTCTACAAGTACAAAGGCTATTTTCATGACTTGAACCTCAGTAACCCATGCGACTATCTCATAGTATACTAAAAATTGGTTGTCCAGTAAATTTAGATGGAAAATGGTTATACTTCAACTTGATAAAAGAACCTAAAGTTTAGTACTCCACTACGAGTTTGCAGATCCTTTTTTCAGGTTCCTAGAAGATAAATCTTTTCACACTAAAGATCATCCTTCTCCAAGACTCATGAAGAACTGGAATTATATTCCGAAGAACGGAAGATGAAAAAGTTACAATGGTGAACATATTCATCAAGGATTAAATTGGTTTCCTCAAGATAAAGCATAGTTTTCATCTATTAGCAATCATGGAGAAGATCCCAGAAATATGTAATGCCAAACCCACAGCCATGAGGCACAAACATATCAGTAGACAGCTGAAGGCAAGCATAAGATTCTGGCTCTTAAAGGAAAGGCCTATTAATTTATGTGACGATCATTGCCTTCCTTAAGAAACTATCATCACTACAAACCCTGCAGTCCAGATATTTACACTTCAATCCAACAGTTTCCCAGAACAGCTTCAAGGTTCATCTATGCCATAAACCAAGCAGCAACAAAAACTGGCTGAGAGATATAGCAGTATCCAAGCAGATCCATCCACATCAGCATATAAGAAGTGCTAGTTGTCCATTATTGTAGACCAAAGAATGATGATACATTTATTTAATCTCTCTGATGGATATCAGAACCTTGAAACTGTAAGATTAGCTGTTGCAAACAGAACTATATATTCAATCTTAATAGTCGATGAACATACTATCAAAATTTTGTTCCAATAACACAGAAATAAGTTATGCCAACTGAAGGGACTTAAATCAAAGTCAGCTGTGGAAAAAATTGCAATTAAATTTAAACCACTTGAATTTTATAATGTTTGTTTGCAACTATAACACAGACCTCAACAATGATCAAAGGTCAGATAATTCACATCAACTCCCTCTCACATGGATTAACCATTATAAAATCAATGATCTAGAAAATAAATAGCGTAGAAGGATAGGACTGTTTTCACTGATCACGTGATATTCACTCGTATCAGAGTACACATGAGGCAAGCATTTATTACCATGTGCATATACATGCAACATGAATGAACAACAGCATCTGATATCAGGTTAACCGTACAAACTATCTGTATTAGGGAATGACATAGGGAATGTCATATGTCCATGCTGCACAGATACAATATCATCATCTTCTTGAAGCATCAGCAACAAGGGGTACTTGATTGACATAATGCTCATGGACAAACTTCATGGATGGACATAATGGTCAGGCAGTTAGCAGCAAATTATAAGCAGATTTTGTATTAGAGTAAAACAGAACACCTATTGCTCTGCAACTCTGTAACTAAGATATGAGTTGTTGATTGTCATCCAACATGTTTACAGTAAAAGATCGATTTGTTAGCTTATAAGAAAGATGAATGTGCAACAATAAGATAATGAGAAGCACAACTATGAGGAATAAGTTTTAATGTATTTCCCCTCTTTACTGGCATATATTTGGATGTTCACAAAGGAGTACTAGGTCAACAATTGAGTCCATACCAGCCAATAAAATGTAGCAGGAATTTAGAAAAGAATAGGAGAATCACATGACAAGTTGTTCGACAGGCAAAAAAAATTCAAAGAATTGCTGGAAAGTAATGCTATCAACAACACTTAAAGGAAGAAAAGGAACAAATAAGACGTGTGAATGTACTTTAACTAACAGATGAGATTGTTGAAGACCTGCAAGATAAATTAAGTAATGAGTTTACACAATACAACTTCACTAAATTATCAACTTTTTTGCAATAACTACTGACTAAAGAAAAATCACACAAAATAGGAAAAAATATAGGTGATTGTATAGAAAATGTGTGGACCTAAGACCTTAATAAAGAAGTCATTGAGTACAAGAGATATCATATCAACTTTGAAAATTCAGTATCATCTGGAGTGACTTGAAGTCTAGTTCCAAAAACCCATAAACCAACAGAGTTTTCCAGAATTAGATTTTCTTGAAAAAGCTTGAAATGAACTATCAATTTCTTACTGCATGAGATGAGAATTGCACAAAAGCAAATCCTCGATTCAGTCTCCTTTTCCCTGCCGCAAAATCTTCAGCACTAGGATACATTGCAAGGTTTACTGACAACACATCTTTAAATGCCTGCAAAGCAAAAGGTAAGTTGTAAAATCAAAATCAGCAAGTGAATCCATATAATTATAGCTATCTCAGACCATCTTAGTACCTGGCGAACCAATTTATCAAATTCTTCCAAGCTCCAATCTGACATGCACAAGAAAATTTATATTTAAATAGGTGTTCGAAGAGCCACTTATGAGAAAAGTGACAAAATGTCTATAGCATGAAAGCAGTTCTGAAGCACTTCAAGGCAGCACTTCCAGATATATATCTTGTATAGTTAGGTACGCATTCCACTACAACTATGGCAGGATAGCACCCTACAACACTACGAAAATAGTGAGACTGTGGAATGCCTAACATATTGATTATGCACTTTCTCTTTCAGAAAGCAAAGAATCACTGAAATATTTGAAGTTTTAAAGAGTCTCAAATCAAACAAAGCACCATCCACATGCCGCCTACAGCATGGAACAATACCATGCCAACACAGGATGCTGGCAGAAGTGAACTAGAGGAGGAAAAAAAGATGGAGAGAAAGAATACAAAAAGATATGAGAAGAGGTGGGGGAACCCAACAGAACTTTCTCCAGCACTCACTCTGAACTCAGAAACAACAATCTCCTAAACTGACCAGGCTGCAGTGGACAATGAGTCCTTTGTGTGGTAACCTCTCAGAACTCAGAAATCACAATCTCCTATGGTAACAAGTGCCTACCTCCATTGATCTCTGATCACCATGATTATTTCTAAAATGCTAGTCTGATAGAACTTATAAAAGACTAATTTCAGTTGTTTACAACTTAAAAGATGATCCATTGGTTCACTCCTTAACTGATACAAAGGGAAAAGATATCCCAAAAAGCAAAGGGTTTTTCATTATGTTAATAAGACCTGGTTTGATGTACCATCTCCATATGCAAATACAAGGATACTATGCATATATAAATATCTTTTACTATAAAACCAAAAACATGAATATGATCGTAAACCTATAAGGCATCTGATTTATGTATCACTGATGCTTGATGCTACAGAAAATGTATACACAAATGGTGAACCAGGTTCTACCTTTATGAAGATTTCCAAAAAACAAGGAATCTTGATCTGAAGAAAGAGCAACACGAATACTCTTTCCATGGACCTGAAACAGGAATAAGATGGAAAAACAGGTGTTTTCATGATAGTGCTTCAAGCATTTACTAAAATAATGTCATAACCAGTAGTTCACAGCTAAGAGGTAATCTAGGTTCCTTTGGAAAGATTGAAAGTACGAAACAAAACATGAGAAAATTCCAGGCTCAATTAGTTATCCTATAGGCCGTGACTAATCTTGTTACGAGAATATATATAACTCGATAATATACATGTACATAAGCAATCAAGGGCAGAGAACCAATGTCTAACAAATAGGGAAAAAATATGAGGAAAGCTCTATTCTTGCAAGCTGAATTTGTATCATAAACAATGAACTAATTTTCCTTCAAATCCTTCTTACATTTATCATGGACCATCTAATGCCCTAATAGATCCCTGCTCTTTTGTTTTTTTGAGTTGTATCAGTGAAGAACAGAGGAATGACAACCACACGAAGCAGCCATAGCTGCTGCACTCAGCTGTTTCCAATCACCACATTGTCCCATTTACCACAGAACAGATGCAGACCTTAGTTTGAACCTCAGAAAGAATTTACATCCAAACACTAAATGATATCTACATAAAATATAAGGTTTTCAGAGGATGCAAAACCGAGAAATTCCACATGATGCATGTAATATTAAGTTTCACAAAATCTCAAACATAATCAAGGACAAACTACGTTCTGTTCCCCCTTAATGCGAAGGCAATGCTGATTTGACAATGAGAGAATTTGACCAGTCCTTATGCCCCATTTCAACCCAACACCATAAATGTGAAAAATGCTAGCCCTTAAATTAGGAGCCTTTTGCCATTGGTACCGGCAGCAGGGAATAAAACTTGGATCATTAAAAGTAAAAACAAAAAAATTGGAAGATAAAGCAGTATAGCTGCTGAATACTGATCAAGAAAAATGAAGCAAGTTTTTCTTCAAAATAACCAAAACTGTAAAATGGCTCAAAGTTGTAGTTTATGCCAAAAAAAAAAGAATTGATAATAACACTGTAATCAGATTTTACATTTAGGACAGAAAATGGCAGCTTCTATAATCTTGACACTGAATGCTAAGCTAGTTCAACCAAGGTTCTCAATTTCGGTCTGTACCGGTATACCGAAACTTGCTCGGTATGGTACATACCGAGGTGTACCGATGGTATACTGGGGTGTACCAACCGGTATACCTCGATAACGGTCGAAATCTAGGGCGTACCAACCGGTACACCTCGATAACGATTGAAATCCAAGGCGTATCGACCGGTATGCCTCAGTAACAATCGGATTTCGATCGTTACCACTCAATATAGACCTCATATTGCCCGATATGGGGTCAAAACATCGGTACCGCCCGGTAGAGGGTGGTACACGTACTGGTATCCTCTTGGACTGGCACGTACGGTACACATCGAAATTGAGAACCCTGAGTGCAACAAATCTTAATTTATTGGACTACAAAACTGAATTAAAAGGATGAACAATATGTAAACGAAAGATACTGTGCACATATAGATGTCAATTTTTACCATAACTCCATCGTTCTCTTTGTAAGCTCTGAATGCTGCTTCCTTTGTTGTAAATCGCACAAAACAAAATCCCTGAGCAAGGAAACATCAAGTTCTTAAATAAATATCTGAAATAAATAATACTGTCCATACTAAATTCCTTTTCATCATATGAAAGAATACTTCCTTCAGTGGATGTATGCAAAAAATATATATTCAAAAACAGCTCATACCTTAGAGTTACCCTCCTGGTCCTTGATCATCCTCAACTCAATAATCTCCCCATAAGGAGAAAATATCTGCAGCAAAAACCAATATGCATAATTTCAACCAACAATGTAGAAACAAAAATGTTATCAGTCATTCTTTAACTGAGAATTTTGACAGAAAAAACAAAATCAAGGATGCAATTAAAGAAATACTAATAATTTTCTCTCTCTCTTTATCAGCAAATGCTCATCCACAAACCGAAGCTAAAAACCATATTGCATTATCATTTTAGGCAACAAGACAATATATATTGGGTCATTTGTCTTAGTTTATGTATTTATTAGTCCATGAATCAATTCAAAAAAGCATTGCCAATCACAATAAAACAAGAACTTCACCTAGACTGACTCTCTTGGAATCAGCGAATAAAAGAGATGACAACTAGCATCCAATGTGAAAAAGATACACACCCAAGAAAATGTACAGTTACATAATAAGAAGGTCATGTTCTCTTTTGTAATGTGCTACCTATGGGCTCATTGGGCTAATTCATACAATCAAACTGTTTCAAAATGCAACAAATGAACCTACAAAAGTTTAATATGTGTAAACATAAAGGAACACAAAAGTGAAAGGCTTATCCACCACAATTAATTCAGGATCTCGTTCTGCATATTGTCTTGATGGCAAAGAAAATGAAACCAATTTTACTGAGAGGCACAAAATAACTAAGTCCAAAACAATGCAAAGAAAAATTACCTCATGGATTATACTCTCGGTTACGGATCGAGGAAAACCACCAACAAAGATCTCTGACCCTTTAACACGATGTCCTGTCCAGACAACCATTATACGACAACAATTTCCTATCTACTGGTGACTCAGTACAAAACCAGTAAAGAAAAGCTATATCAGCAGAATAAGGCTCGCCTTGACTGGAGAATCCACCTGATGCGTAATTTGTCTGTAAAATCAGATCAATTGATCAGTATCATTTGTTTAGTCACAACATCTTAGCATTTTTCAACAACGTTGAGAAGATAATGAAATTCGTAAGTTCATTGTGAATAGATGTTGCAGGTACACAATTTGTGTGTTGGCACTGACACAAACAGGTAACAAGAATAAGCAAAAGAAGTGAAGTTATCTAAGAAGAACCACAGCTAACAACCTATATCAGGCAGCAGGAAACCCAGTCCACATACGGGTTCATAGTAAATCAGTGGATAATAAAGCTACGGATAATCAAAATAATCTCACAAGTATCAAAGGTATCATCCTTTCTGGATCTGTAGAAACTCAAAATTCCTATGATTCCCAGTTTAAACTCCTTTCCCTTTACACTCCTACTTGGCCAGATAACAAGACCCTCAATTATCTTTTCTTGCATTCGCTTGGCCCTATGCTGATGGTGGGTCCTCACAATTGGCCTTATCTCCAAGACACCAAGGGCAACCTGAATTTTCTGGACCTAATGCTGTACAGCCCATCCATATACATGTGTAATGCAGCAAGGTCCACATTGTCTTGGGGGTTCTGCGGAGTGGTGGTTGTTCCTTGAGAGAGGCTTTTGTATTAAGGGTTTCCAGACTATTCTTGGACTTTGGTCGGTAGAATCACAAAAATAACGTGTTTCTTGTGTCTAATCGTTCCTTCCTTTTCTCTTAAGATGTAGTCCCTATTTTGATCCTTCGCTACAATCATAGCGTTCAAACTCCCTTTCCTTTGATTCGTTCTCTCTCTTCAGTATACCACGTCCCCATTGATCCCAACAAGGCTGTGATATTGGTGTTAAATTAACCAACAGAAATTGGCACCGTTAGCAGTTGGGGGATCGCATCCACGTGCATTTCCAGTCAAGTGCATTTAGAATCCCCTTCGATTCGATGGAAGGGACAAAAGGGAGGCATCTTGACCTCAATTCGTTGCTTTCGAGTTCGATTGGGTTAAACCATCGGGAAAGGATAAAAAGGCAGTGAAAGATTGATAAATAGATATTAAAAAAAAAACAAGTAACAACAACAACTACGGGGAAGAAAGCAACATGATTAAGAAACAAGAATTCACTACCATCCCAATTCTACCACCAAAAGAAGGAGAGAAAAATCTTCTAGCAATAATTTTTAGCAAGAAGCTGAGATAACGAAGAGCGACCAATTAGAAGCCAGCAAAGGAGCAGAACAACCAGAAACCGATTACCTTCACCATCGTCGGAGAATTCGAGATGGAATCGAAACCCTAGACGTCGAGCAACACCGGGAGATGGAAGACCCCCAGTCGCACTGTTCCAAGGCCAGCGACTAATGGCAGTGAGCAGCTGGTTCAATTCTCCACATTACCGCTCCGAATCTGGGCCGAGCTCGGTCCATAATTTATTGGGCCGGGCCACTGACCAATAACAACAAAGTAAACCGGCCGTACTGTTCAAGGCCGCTAGAAGCAGGTTTAAATCTCAAAATTACCCACGCTAAATCCGGTCCAAGCTCGGCCCATAATTTGCTGAGCCGGTCCAGTTACCTATAATAATATAGTCGCAAGGAGCTTAAACTTAAACTCAGATTGACGATTCCACTAAATCTGTGATATATGATATTAGAGTCAGGTTGATAACTAAAAATAAGCCTTGCTTAGGTAGACAAACAAAAGCAATTCTCTTTGCTTGGTTATTGAATCGATACCAAAGTAACAATGTGATGAATCAAGTGAGACTACTCATGATGGAGAATTTCTTTACCCATTTCGTCCAAGACGAGCATGGTATCCACATTGGTGGTCAAGAAGATGAATCTACTTAAGTCAAGTTGAAAGGCACTAATGAAATGTAAAAGTCAATACATCTCCAAGAAGTTGTAGCAGACCTCACTGCAAAAGTTGTAGCAGACATAGAGGTGGAGGAAACTCTTGTGGCCATTCATAAACATAACACTTGAGAGATGGTGCTCAACATGTTAAAAGAATTTAAGAACTTCCTCTTTGACATGGTATAATATTTTCAGACAATAAAGCTCAATTCCGTTGAGATAATAGTGTTGATTATAACCATGTACCTTAAAGCGACTAGGTGGAAAGAAATCTAATCAAAGTATTATCATATTGTCAAAGAAATTGAAATGGGAGTTACGAACGTAAATTCATGCCTGAAAATACTAAGTTCATCATGTGACTGTTGGAATTTTAAGGGTCACACATGTATAATTAAATGTGTTAAGCCATTATTTTGATTAGCCAAAATTAAAGTGATCCAATTAAAGTAAAGTTATTTGGCTAAGGGACATAATTGTTATGAAAATTAATTGTGTGGATACCATCATGTTCCTAACTTAATGACGAGATAAGTTAGGAATATGAAACTCTTGAGGCATAATTACAGATTCATCAATTATGAATACAATCATAATTGTAGATTCATCAGTTATGACTAAAAATAAGGTTATGGTCCCCGGTTGCAGTATCAAATGAAGTTTCTCTTCACCCATCAAGGAGAAATCTAAAGTTCAAAAGGTACTCTGCAATTGGAAGACCAAATCACCGATCAATTCAGAAAATACTCTAATGGATTCATCAGGTACGCTTCCGTGTTAATATGTTTATCAATTATTGTAGGATTTCATGCATATTATAGTGGATTAAATAAGTTTTATGGAAACATTCTTAATCCATTATTTTGGATCTATTTGGTTTTGATTCTATAAAACAATTGTTTGATCCATATTTGATATGTTAAAAAGAACCCCAACAAGTGGTATCAGAGCCATCCTACAATGATTGATGAACATTTAAGCTTGTTTTCTCATGAATTTTAATGATGTTTTCATCAATATTTTAAAGTAATTTGGTTCTATCATCGTTGGGAAAGATGATAGTTTTAGTAATTTGGTTCTATCATCGTTGGGAAAGATGATAGTTTTATGTAATCATGCTATTTTGAAGTGATTTGGTTCTATTATCGTTGGAAAAGATTATAGTTTTATGTAATCATACTACAGCATGCTTCACATTCAATTTAGTGTCTTTTTCTGATGTGATATCAGTTTAATTTTGAATTATCTTTTCCACTTCGTGTCTTTTCCTATTCATTGCAAAATTCATTTTTGTACTAAAAGGCATAAATTTCCCAAATTCTTTTTGGATTTTATCTAATTAATATGAATTTAATTAATTAGATATTGTTGCAATATTATGTTGGTTTAATAATATTGTTGCAATATTATGTTGGATTAAACATAATATTGGTTCTATAAAGTTGTTTGTTGACATAAATTGAATGATTTATATGCTTTAAATATTTTAGTCAACAAATTAAGATCAAACCAATTTAACTAATATGGTCCAAATTCAATTAGTGATTGTTTAATATTAGATTGAGTAATTTAATATATGAAGTCGCCAAAGTGACCTCTCATATATAACATTTCTCATGAAAATATTAAATGTAGTGTGTATTTACATCCATGCGGTAATTATCTGGCCGAAAGGAAGGTTAATGACTGGCAGGATTTTATACATACTTGTAATGATAAATACGTGATAATTATAAAGTTATACATGTAAATGATAAATCAATCCAAAGATGGGTTTTTCATTTGACATGCCTTATTATCAGTATTTGATCATTACAACAAGACTACCACTAGCAATTAATATTGAAGTCCAAAGACAAGATATTAATGTTGCACTTGGTATCTTGAGATGAGTTAAATCATTATTTGAATTTACTTAAGTTTATGACAATAAATATGAGCATAATTTCTGGTTATCTATTGTTCTCTTATTTAGGTTCTCTTGCAACAATATCTGCTAACCTCAGTTCTGTACCAGTTCTAAACGGAACCAACTTTAAAGATTGAAAAGAAAACATTCTGATCGTTTTGGGCTGCATGGATCTAGACCTTGCATTAAGAGAAGACCAACCTGCTTCTCTTACAGAAAATAGTACTCATGATGATAGGAGACTATATGAGAAGTGGGACAGGTCTAATCGCATGAGTCTCATGATCATTAAGCACGGCATTCCAGAAGCCTTTAGGGGTGCGGTGTCCGAAGGGATTACCAAGGCCAAAGATTTTCTTACCGAAATAGAAAAGCGTTTTCTTAAAAATGATAAGGCAGAAACAAGCACTCTACTTCAAAGATTGTTTACCATGAGATACAACGGCAAAGGAAATATAAGGGAATACATCATGGAAATGTCTAATCTTGCTTCTAAGATTAAAGCATTAAAGCTTAACCTATCAGAGGACTTACTTGTCCATTTGGTTCTGATATCTCTCCCTACACAATTCAATCAGTTTAAGGTCAGTTATAACTGCCAAAGGAACAAATGGTCTCTTAATGAGCTCATTTCATATTGTGTGCAAGAAGAGGAAAGATTAAAGCAAGAGAAGATTGAAAGTGCAAACTTGGTCAACACCTCTAAGGATAAGGGTAAGAAAAGAAAATATAAACCTGAAAAGAATAAGGCTAATAAGGGTCCAGTACAGAAGAAACAAAATAAGGATGATACTTGTTTCTTCTGTAAAAAATCTGGGCATTTGAAGAAGGACTGTGCCAAATATCACGCTTGGCGTGCTAAAAAAGGTACGTTCCTTACTTTGGTTTGTTCTGAAGCTAATTTAACTTCAGTACTTAGAAACACTTGGTGGTTAGACTTCGGCACAACTACTAACATTAGTGTTTCAAAGCAGGGTTACCTGAGCTACCGAAGGCCCAATAATGCTAAGAGATACATTTATGTGGGGGACGAAAAATCGGTAGATGTGGAAGCTATAGGCACATTTAGATTGTTATTGTGTACTGGACATTATTTGAATTTGAAAGATACTTTTGTTATACCGTCGTTTAGACAAAACCTAATTTCTGTTTCTTATTTGAACAAATTTGGTTATTCTTGTTCATTTGGAAATAATCAGTTTACTTTGTCTTTAAATTCAAATGTGATAGAACTAGTTCACTTATGAC